ATGCACAGTTCAGTGACATCGACTACGCTCTTCCGGTTGTGCTGCTATTCTCACTTTAGATGAAGGTTTACAGAACAAAATAGTTTCTCATTAAACACTTAGTACACGTTGCCCTATGACAATGGTTAACAACCCCATGACATGTCAATACTGTCCTTACTCAACCCTGGGTTCCCTATCACCAGCTTTCCTGTCCCCTTTTGCCTTCTAGTACTTGTCCCTGGACTGCTGTGCCTCACTGGTCCCATTTTGTTTTATGGGGAGGTCAAATCCCCAACTGAACGGTGAACCTCAGAAGTGACTTCACCAGTGAACTAAAAGGGTGTCTGGGGGCCATACTCTCGGAGTTTCTCCAGTCTCTTTTAGGCCAGTAAATCTGGTCTTTTTTTGTGTGTTAGAATTTTGTTCTACATCCTTCTCCAGGTCTGTCCAGAACCCTTTGTTATGATCCCAGTCAGAGTGGTCAATGAAGGCCTGATGGTTTTTAACAATTACAATAACCACCTCAATCACTTACCGCCTTTTCTCTAAGCCCTCACATATACCATTCTTTCTACGCAGAAATCCATTCCCTCCTCCCTTCTACAAAACCATACTGTAGTCCTCTACATGAAAAACTGTATCCACAAAGTCTACCTAGATGAAACCCAGTTTGCTGGTTCCTCCAGCAACTCCTTTTAGCACTACAGTATCATTACATATTGTTAAATATTTCTACTGGTTCGTGTGCTGTCTCCTTCCCTCACCAGTGTAAATTAGAGGCACAACGTGATTCTTGAAACAAAATGCTGAATTCTGCACTGATTGATATCTGCTGGTGTTTTTAAAAACCACCCTGGTGACGCAGTGGTTAAATGCTTGGCTGCTAAATGAGATGTCAGTGGTTTGAACCCACCAGCTGCTTGCTGGGAGAAAGATAAGGCCTTCTGCTTCCATAAAGATTTACAGCCTTGGAAACCCTATGGGGCAGTTCTATTCTGTCTTACAGGGTCACTATGATTTGGAATTGATTCGACGGCAACAGGGTGGGTGGGTGGTAGTGGTGGGTGTTTTTAAAAGAAGGAGTACCAAATTAATCTATAATAAAAGCCACTTTTGAGGAGATAACTGGAAAGGCTTCCCTGAGGTGAGGACTGCTAGAAACATGCCACAGAGAAATTCTACCACAATATTGAATTGAACCACTTATGTTTCCTACCCTTGAGTTTGCTGCAGCATGGCAAGATTCACAGAAGCCAAGGGCTAAATGTGGCATCTATCTACTTAGAGGATCAATTTTATTCTATGGTAAATAATGAAAAACATTAATTTTATAAAACAATCATACTACGGAGCAGACTGCACAATCTATGAAATGTCAAGTTCAAGCTATACTGCTATTCCCCTTTTCTCCCATCTCCTGCCTCCCACGCACAGATCTTCTCTTCTGGCTTAAGTTTAAAAAAAAAAACTTGCTGAAGACAGTTCTAACTACATTTCCCTTCCTACCAGCATCACGTTCACCAGGGGCAGACTGGGTTTATCCACGTTCTAGTTATAATATTGTCCTCTCAGGAGGCAAAAATAAAATGTTTTCCAAACTGTGGCAACAGTGTCACTGAATGCCCTCTCTATTCCTGCAAA